GTGTTTCATACATTTATGAACGTAGAATCTCTAGACAATGTCTGAAAATGTTTTAGTGATTGTGATAAGCTGATTTGCTGCCATGGTTAATTATGAATCCCTACTTGAATTATGACTTGAGTCCTTACTTTCCCTGTTAAATTGTTTTTAATTTAATTCCTTTTCTTATAGCTTGTTGCCACAGAGCCTGGAACCATCAGAACAAGAGACGTCTCCTGCTTTTGAAGTCCCTCCTGCAACTGTTTCTCTCCAACAGAGTTCGTTTTTTGTCCAAAGGAGGTGGAAGAGGAATGCCATGAGGATCAAGCTCCCAGAATCAGGGTTGGAAAATGGGTTCTTGTTAACTATGATGGAGATCTCTACCCTGGCACAGTCACACAGGTATATACACCACAGTATAACAATTAGCCTAGCCATTTAATAATTTAATTGTTAGCCGATTGGTCTTCATTCTTCTTCCTGATTCTTTCAGATTGTTGGTGAACAATATGAGATTGAGATGATGAGCAGAGCAGGGGAAAACAGGTTCTTTGTACCAGCAACACAGTTCACAGGCAACAAGGTGTGGTACAATGAAACAGACATAAAAGAAGTCATCCCTGAGCCCATGCCTGCAACATCCTCTGCCAGACACTTCAGTGTGCTGCCTGAGATTTGGGGAAAATACTCCACAAAGAGAACCTAAGTGGACTAGAATAAAATAGTCACTTAAAAGTTCATTGCGTTTAATGATACAGCATTATTAGGTGTAGAATGAGGTGTGTTGCGTCAGGTGAGAGCTTGATTGGGAGAGGGTTCGATCGTCCTTTGTTAATTATTTAAGGCAGGTAGGCGAGCCCAGCTGACTGATCAGATGACGGAGGTGAGTGGACCAGGACTGGAGTGACGACGATCAAGCCGAGATGGAGTGGAGAACTGGGGTAGATATACTGGTGAAGATGAGGCTGATGGCTGGCAGGTGTGGCGGGCGGAGGTGGAGGTTGACGAGACACAGGTGCGGATCATCAGCCGGGCTCAGGAGCGGAGAGAGGGAGCGCACACACAGGGGGAGAGGGGAGGAGACACAGGGAAAAAACAGAAATGCGAAACGAGGGAAAGAAAAAAAAGGAACAGCGAAAGAACACAGGGCACTTACCGTCAGCCGGGCTGCCACCGCAACAATTAATTTTTTGCAGTCATGTACTTATGCAGTTTGGAGCAGGCATTTTCTTTTATTTTCTTTTTTTTAATTTGAAGAATTGGAATTTGTGACAGCTCATGTGACTTCCTTTTTGGACCATTCTTTCTGTTTCTAGGAGTGAGGCCGGGCCTCATTGATACTACTGCTCCCTAGCTTTATAGGGTGGTGGATTCAGTCACTGTGTCTCTCTCTCCCTATGTGGTTTGTTGTTTGGGTTAGATTTTCTTTGTGTTTAGTTGCTTTGTTCATTACACTTCACTGTACATGCAGACAGTCAACACACTACTGACGGTACTGACTTACATACTTTATCTGTTATTTTGTATTGGTCAACGTTGACAAGCCTGGATGCCGCCACATTTAAGACACTGTTGTGTGTTTAACCGTGTTCTGAAGGTTTATTGTCTCCTAAGAGTCTAGAGCAACAACTTTTTCTCCACAACATCCAGATGGGCAGCGAAAGCAGTGAGAATTCAAGATCACCTCAGGTGATACGGACAACTTCAACTGGAAGTCCCCTCCCAGAAGAGCTGAGAGAAACATGTGAACCCGTACATCCCAACACGAGACAACCTGAGAGATGGAGATGGACGGAAAAAATCCTGCTGCAAGACATTCTGCTGAAAGACAACAGCTGTAGTGTTCACCATCGCCCTGGTCAACACGTTTTAGAATACTTCAACTCTGGTCACTAGCCCAACAAGATGACAGACGTTTCCCTACAAATCTAGGAGCTCTCAACAAACAGACTCCAATAGTACTTATATAACCACAACACCCACACAGATTATTGATACATCTGCATTCACCAGTCGAACTGATGTCATTTACACTGATTTTCTACACGGACTGTTTCACACAAGGAAGAAAAAATAACTGTCATAACCAGTGAAGATGCAAGAAGAGGGGAGATGTGACATTGGCATGTTACCAACACAGGAGGAAGAGGACAGAAGAAGAGGGATTCATAATAACTACAAATAAACCATGTAATCAAGGAGAAGACAATGACTGTTTCTGGAGTGGTCCTGTTTTTGAATTACAAAGATCATCTGTTGGTATATTTGTTTTAGTTCTTTATTTATTTTTTCAGCAAATTCTATTCATATTTTTAATTCTTGTTTCTGATTGTTTTTTCTTTCTAATGTTATTGTTGTGATTTTGTATGCAGGTTTTCTTATGCATATTGTATCATTTTAGTTTCTATGTTTTCTTTCCAACAAATGGGTAAATGACCAATTCTGGCCCCTATGGTATTATGACCATGCATGTAGGCTATTTCAACACCTGTATTAAGTGTTTCTTTGAGATCATTCTACATTTTTTTAAACTTGCCCAGCACATGTAGATCAGCCTTAATGTACAGATGATATAGGTTTTTACAAATGTAGTCCTTCATATTTTTTATTGTTTTCTTTTTTCTTTCTGTTTCTAATTCATTGTTTTAACTATTCATCAAACATATAATGTTCTCATTTTTTGTATTCCCACTAAGACAGTTTTACAGTGAATCCTACCATTTTGATTTCTCAAAAACATTTTGTTGACACTTTGTGTCAAAAGGAGGGAAATGTCACCGGAGGAACCCAACCCCCTGAACTGAGCCTATCCACCTTGTCTTGTGTTCAATAAACTGAGTAAATATCCTTAAGAACTGTTCTTGTCTGCATTTAGGTTTGAGACACAAAATCCCTGACAGGAATGTGAGAAATACATTATAAGTTGCTGATTTTTAGGATTTCACTGTGTGAGAAATTAGCATTGGTCACAGGGTTTTTATTCTTAATCAAAGGGTTGTCTGAATTACAATAAACATCGGCTGACATGTAGGTGATAGTTTTAACATAGACTAATCAAGAAGTAGGGACACAACTCTGATGCCACATACATTTGCATTCTTTTGTCAGCCCAGGAAGAAGCTTTTGAGTGTATGCTAATACTCTGCCATTTGTTTTCCCTTGTCTTAACAGTTTACTATTGGCTATTGTGTTCTGTACTTGCTCTGTATTTAAGAAGAGGAAATGCTGAGTTCAGGAGAGTAACCATGCGTTCTCTCCATGGCCACGTTACATGTGAAATGAATTAACACTAATCTATTTGACTCCGTATTCTTTGGGAAGGAATTATTTTCCCTGACAGCAGCAGCATGGATATGACTATCTTGCTGGTAGGGAAACTGGTGCTAAGAACTTTCCATTAGAGTCCATAAGGAGGATAATGTCAGTCCTTCTGCCTGTGTGTGTTTGTTCAGTCTCAGCTGTCAGGTCTGGATGTGGATTGGTTTCAGGTCTTGAGCTCCTAGCTGGAGGTTGGCTAGATTCCGGGCCCTGGACAGGTGCAGGGCTGTGACTGGCGTCTTGGCTTGGGATGTATGTATGTATGCTGTGTTGTACTTCAGCAGGTGTAGTGGGAGTTTGGCTGGATGTGGTCTCGGTCTGAGAGGTGGGTACTGTATAGCACCTTTGGGTAGTCTTCCGACAAGGAAAGCTGCAACAACTGTCTGCATTTAAAATATTTAATCTAATTAACTAACATAATACAGTATATTACACTGGTAAATGCAGCAGTATATATTCCAATGAGTGAGTCATGTATTTAGAAAAGAATATCAGACCATGTTAGGATTTACCACAGAGGTGTTGGCAATATTTCTGGCCCCAAAGTGGATATAGGAGGTAATAAAGAAATAACATATGGGTTTCCCAATCCAGCTGTGAGAGCGTTCACATAAAAAGGGCCGCAGAGGACCAATTACAAACACAGACAAGTCCACTGGCAGCATGGCAGCATGTTTTATAAATGAAGAGCAAACTGTAAGATATTGATAATGGAAAACCTCAGGAAAGTGTAATAAGTCCTGTCCTTTTCAACATTATGATAAATGATATATTTGAAGAAATTGGGAATAGTTTTGGAAAATCTCTGTTTACAGATGATGGGGCCATCTGGAAAAGGGTCAGGAATATCAAAAAACGAATGCAGGTTGCACTGAACAAGTTAACTAGTTGGGGTGAAAAGTGGGGATTTAAGATCTCACTCAAAGTATATTACAAAGTATATAACATTTGGTAATAAGAAAACTGAATGTGGTGGTTTACTTTTGTATGAACAAGCCATTGAGAGGGTAAAAGATTTCAAATTCTTGGGTGTGCACTTTGATGAGAACATAACATAGCATAAGCAGACAAATAATGCAGTAAATAAGTGTGAAAAAATGATACTATATATATATATATATAATGTGTTGCCTCTCAGGTAGTACATGGGGTGCGGACAGAGATACTCAACTAATGATCTACAGAGCAATGATGAGGTCTACACTGGATTATGGTTGTGTTTGTTATGGGACAGCAGCTGACTCGCATTTAATAAGGCTGGAAGTAATACAGGCTAAGGCAATGAGACTATGTTGCGGGGCCCTTTGTACAACTCCAGTCCTGGCTTTACTATCAGGAGTGTGGTTTTGTGTTCATGTCTTTCCTGTTTAAGTCCATTTTTGGTTCTGTGTTTTTCTGTGTAGTCTTGTTTAGTTAGTTCTTAGTCCTGTGCTTTAGTTTATGTTTAGTGTTTTCCTGATCTGTGTACTTCTGTGTTTTATCATCATGGTCTGTGTCCTAGTCCTTAGTCTTATATTTCCATGTTTTAGTGTAGTCTTGTCTCCTGTTTGGTCCCGTCTCTGTTCGTGCCCTGATTTTGCTGTCTTGCCATCTTTTGTGTTTTACTTTGGTAGATCTGTCCTTGCGTGTTCCTGTGAACTTTACTTCCTGTTTTATTTTAGTAATCCTGTGTACCTGGTGTCCTTGTCTAGCTTTGTCCCTGTGGTTGATTACCTGATGTGTTTCAGCTGTGCCTCCCTCCCTGCTCGTTTACCAGTGTATATATTGTCCTCAGTTGTCTTCAGTCCTTGTCATGTCCTTGCGTCTATGTTTTCTGGATTTCCCTGGATTTCTGGTTTGTTCCCCCGTTTTGGGTTACTCTGTCTTTGTGTTGGATTTACCTTCTTCTGCATTATCTTTGTTTGGACTTTTGGACCAAGCTTCCAGGTAAGCCTGTTTAGTTATTTGAATAAACTTTATTTTGAACTGCCTCCTCGCTTCGCTGTTGTCTGCATTTGGGTCCACACTCCTCAGGTCCCTGCCACTTCACTCAGTATTATGCTCAGATGTGGCTTCAGTGTTAAACTCTGAGAGGAAGTAATTTGGGAGCACAGCCAGACCTGTTTGTAGAGCTCATGATTCTGTTGTATAGGTGGCAGACAGGGTAGCAAAATGGCTCTGAAAAGACACTGATTTAACAGTTTGTATTGGGGTACATGAATGTCGGTCTGTCATAAAGGAACACATTACTGCAGTAATGGCAGAGGCAGTGGGAAAATGAAACGAGGGGTCGTCACTACTATGCAATACAAAATAAAGACCGAGCAGGGTTACTTGGGTAAATCAACAACTGACTGTGTTTATGGAATGTTAACAGTACAAAAGGCAAAGAGAACTAGGCTCTGCACTGTCCAAGAGGGTCCAGCTGCAGACCTCCAATGTCAGGCCACTTTCAGGACAGGAAATACTACACGCAGGGAGGCGCTCCCTCCTGCATGGCGGCGTGTGTTGGCGCCCATGACCCTCCCTTCCCCGCCAGGTGCTAAGCTCTCCCGTTCGGTGGAACACAGAGATTGCTGCCTCCCAGGCCCCCCCACGGTCGGCATCCCCGCCCATTGAGGGGGCCCCTCCCCCATGGGTCGTGGGTGGGCACCCCCCTGAACCATGATGGCGGCAAGGGCAGCAGAGTGGCTTCCCTTCAGGGCCGCCAGGGTGCCTCATCAACGGGTCAGACCGCTTTCAGAGACGCTACTCGGAGTGGCTCTCTTCCTGCTCGATGCACAGATGGATGGACAGCCTGATCCGCTGGGATCACAGGCTACAGTTTGGACTTACTTCTGGACCGCATACAGTTTTCAGCCTAGGCGGTGATTCTGGTGGTTCCGGAGTGCACGAGTGTCCTGCCTCCAGCGGTTGCTGGCGGGAAACTCCCACGGGGGGATGCCCTCTAGCAGGCAGGGGCGCGATCAGGAGTTGTCCACTTCTCGGCCCCTGTAGGTCCGGCCACTGAGAAGCGGCGCCTGGGGGGTCGAGGTCTCTCCCGTGAGGTGGCTGGCACAATCCAGGGGTTGAGAGCTGCCTCTACTCAGTCCTCTTACTCCTCCAAGTGGTCAGCGTTCCAACGCTGGTGTTTGAACCAGGGGTGCTGGTGGTGCTTTCGTTCCTCCAGCTGCTTGTGGACAGGGGTCTGGCGTTCAGCACAGTTGAAACCTACGCTGCCGCCACCTCATCCTGTCATGAGGGTTTTAGTGTCTGGACAGTGTCCAGACGGCATCGAGGCGCACTCCACGAGAGGTGTCCTCTGTGGCGTTGCATAGTGGGATGACGGTGGATGACATCTGCACGGCGGCTCTCTGGTCGTCCCCCGTTTCTCGCTGGCTCACTCAGTATTGAGTGTTTTGGCTGAGTGTGTTTCCTCCCTGTGAGTGTGCGGTGCGCCCTCTCCCATGGGGCACCACCCATCCAGTTCCCCGTTACGCATGGGTCGGTCGGTGCTTGTGCGCACGCTGACACCAATGCCGCGGACAGCGAGTGACTGGGTAGCTCATTATGGCTCTGGGCAGGTGGGTTTTGTGCTTAGTGGTACCGTATGGGCCAGTGAGGCATTGGCTAAACCCAATAGCGATAGCCTTAGAGGGTGAAGCTCATATGAAATAGAACAGTAGTTATGTACTGTAACTCCAGATTCTATGAGTATAGGCGCAGCCCTCTAAGTTGAGGGCCTCACTGGACCTTGGTTCTCAGTGCTGAAGAAAAGGCATTTTGGGAGCCGAAGGCCAGGTCGTGTGTGTATACACAAGGTTCGGACGTAGGAGAGGTCCACGCTGTGGGTGGGCGTAGACAACTTTTCTCAGTGCGCGCAGAGGGGTTAACCCAATAACGATAGCCTCAGAGTGCTGCGCCTATACTGGAGTTACAGTACGTAACTACTGTTTGTCTCGTCTGTCTGGTCAACAGCTACAAAAAGTCCAAAACAATTAGAAGAAATAAGTTAGTGTATCATACTACAAGCATTGGCATTTACATATTTACGCTGCACTTTGCAATATTCTGCACAATAAAGGAAACACTACTGAGCAATAAAGATATTTAAAGTTCCATATGTCTCATGCTCAGTTAGCCAATTCACAACATCCCATTACTCAATTTACAATTTGGCCTAGTGGAGCTAACAAGCGGTTACCTCTTAGCTAGGTTTATTGTCACAAGTTGTAGAGCTCTTGTAGCAATGGCTACAAAGTGCAAAACAATAATTTTTAAGTATAGATGGAAAATTAATTACACAGAGCATTTGACTTTAGCTGTAAATGGTGCTCATTTGAGTACGTGAGACTCTGCTGTTTATAATGCATTGCCAGGCTAGACAAATGCAGCAGAAGAGCAGTATTCCTATATTTATTACACTGGACCTGTAACAGAGCTGCAGCATTGTCACTGATGGTAGTATAGCAGCAAGTTCATGTTAATAGTTTTAATGAAAATCTGAATTATAATGTTTTGGTCGCTGTCACCTTTGTGTTTCCCCTTTTCTGGCTCACCTCTACCAAGTAGGCTGTGTCCCTGTGGAATGAAGACCTGCCTACTTCCTGGTTTGTGGGTGCTGACATCAGTCCTGCCCATTGGTTCATCTGTTTCCACTCAACCAATGGCTCGTCACCACATTGATTACCTCCTGCTCATAAGGGTAGTCCACCTGTTGCTCCGGGCAGCTTGTCACTGCCAATTTACTTGTGTGCTGCGGGTATTGACTGCATACTTTGCTTGTTAGCTGTACATTGTGTTAAGTGGAACAATTTGCATGCCTTGTTAGCTCTACATTGTGCGCAGTGGAGAAATTCACTTAGTAATTTTGTTTACTATTGTGTTAGTTTTCATCAGGTGGAGTGGGTGCTGTGCTCTGTGTTCTTTTTGTAGCAAGAATCAACTCTGCTTAAATAGATGGGTACAGGCCTCCTTTTGAGGACCTTTTTTTATTTTAACTTGGTTTGTTGTTTTCGCAGCACCCTCATCCACCCTCCTTTTGTTTGTTGTTACCTGTCAGCATCTCCGTGTTACCAATAAAAGTTACCTTTTTTAAGACCTACACCAGTTGTGCCTATATGTTTATGGCCCCCACTCCCCTAGACCAACAGGGGGTCGTAACACTGACTTTAAACACACTGCCCAACGGTTCTCTAACATTAAACCTTTTGGGTATGAGCAAGTTTGCAGCTTAATGTTAAAGTTAAACCCAAGAAAGTGACCATTTGTTTTTCACGTGTACCACACAGAGTCTATCGGGTACCTATGCATATCACAACAACAGACCCACATAACATTACCAGCAAACATCAAGAGCACAAGACAGCTTAATAAGCAGAGTTAACATTAGCGTGACAGTAGTTCCACAAAAACTAACCCACCATATCAGTATGAAATAATCAGAGGTGGGACAAAGTCATCGTTTTACAAGTCCGAGTCACTTCTCAAGTGAAGGACCAACAAGTTCAAGTCTTAAACTTTGAGTTTGGAGTCCTAAACAAGTCATAATGCGCTCTTCACCAAATTGGAAAAACTATTTCAAAAGTTGAAAATAAATGTATTGAATGAAGCATTAGCCTCTACAGAAAGAAGGTAGAGGTCCAGTTTAACACAACAGATGTTCTATAATTTCATGAATTAAATGTTCATGTAGGGCTGCTAAATATTTTGGTCAATATTGATATCAGGATTACTCATTGCATTGCATTGTATATTATAGAATGTTGGCACACATTACAGACTGGACATGTTGTTGGGATTGTTTAATATAGTTTGGGATGTTGGCCAACTTCATTTAGCTTGGAAACAAGCAATAATAGTGCCCATTCCACAACCAGGAAAAGATCAGTCAGACTCTTCTAGCTACAGACCTATTAAATAACTTCACATTGATGCAAAATTATGGAACGAATGGTCACAGAGCATTTAACATATTTCCAAGAGAGTAAAGCTCTTTACAAAAGTGTGTTCCGTAGAGGTCGGAATACAATGTGCTTAGAATCAGACATCAGGAAAGAACAGACCAACAAAGAAATATTGATTGCTGTATTCTTTGATATAGAAAAAGCATATGATATGCTCTGGAAAGAAGGGTTACTTCCTGAAGTCATTGGGTATTGGTGGTAGAGCATGTAATAGGGTTGATATTTTTATTTGACAGGGAAATGCAAGTAAGAGTAGATGCAGAATAGTCCAGTGTATATAAGATGGAGAATGGGACTCCACAAGGTAGTGTGTGTGTGTGTGTAGCCCGCTGTTATTCAACATAATGATAAATGAAATGATGCAAAGGCAGAAACCATAGGATTATGACAATTATATTACAGGCCTACAGCATCAGTCTTCCATTCCTCCCTGGTTATTTCCAACTCCAAGAGTAGACCTAAACATACAGCAGGAATTGAAGGATATGTCAAAGCATAAAGGCCTTTTCACACGGGAAGGATTTTAAATACAGAAATGTCAGCCCATGCAGATGTACTCAGTACGGGCCCCTTTTGCATGAATTACTGCCTCAGTGCGGCGTGGCATGGATGCTATCAGCCTGTGGCACTGCTGAGGTGTTATGGAAGACCAGGATGCTTCAATAGCCCAGGATGCTTCAAAATGCCCAAGGACCCTTCGACACGCAACCAGGGGGGAGCCAGGGATTGAACCACCCACCTCCTGATTAATGGCCAACCCGCTCTACCTCCTGAGCCACAGCCGCTCGGGAGGTAGCTGCTTGGTATAGTTGCTGGGATTGTGTTTAGTGGCCAGGAAAATAGGCCCCAAAGATAAGTTAATTTTGTTGGCTAGAGCAACCTATAAGAACCTTAAAGATGTTAAACACACGTTACCTAATGAATTACCACCTTAGTGAAGAAATAAATTCAATGTCTACTACTGGTACTTTAAATACAGTGATTATATATTTTATTGCAAAATTAAGCAAGGACAAGCATACAACTTAAAACTGATTAAAACCTAAATAAACTGATAAAATCTCTGAAATTCAAAACCTGATTGTGATAGCTGAGCTTGAGGATTTTGATGTCTTCTTTTTGGAGAGAAAGGAAGAGGAAGGATGAGGAAGGGCTGTTGACTCTGGTGGAAACCTGAGGCTTTGTCCAAAGCCCTCAAATTGTCTTCAGTCTTCGTCGCAGCTTGTCCAATGATTCTTCAGTTGGTTTGGATGTTGTGGTTACCCTCTGTGGCTCGATCTCTTGAAGTCCCCTGAAGAAATATCTGAAGTGTTCTCTAGTTGTTTGCTGCTCAAATCCCCGTCTCTTGTCTTGGGCTCTTGGTCCGGTGCGGTGATGGTCTTGCTCCGAGTCCGATGCCTCTGAGGTCTGCCGAGGAATAACCCCGATCTCTCTCTGACTCCTCTTTATATATTCTACTCCATAGCTGAGTTTCTTTGTCAAATCAGCCACCACCCTTTTCTGTCCATGTGACTACTGTCACATAGCTTGTTCCTCATCCTTAAATTCAGTTGGGCCAGAGATGTCCTTATTTGGCCATTTCATTTCCCCTTGCTGACCCTTCTCTCCCAATGACTCATAGTCATTTCAATCATCATATCATGTTTAATACCAAATATCTTTCTTTTAATCATTATTCAATATATTGCTTATAGCATTGTTAAGCTCTGTGTTTTGCAGATGGAAGGATGTTACACCTTTTCTCACTCACTGTTGTTACTAAAGGGAGAAAGGCTCCAGTTTTCTTCTTTGCGACCTGGTAGCAAGAGCGTTGGGATCTCAACTTATTGGACAATTTCTTTCATCTTTCTCTTGGCAATGCCCCATAGATTCTCTATGGGGTTCAGGTCAGGTGAGTTTGCTGGCCAATCAAGCACAGTAATCCCATGGTCATTGATCCAGGTTTAGGTACTTTTGGCAGTGTGGGCAGGTGCCAAGTCCTGCTGGAAAATGAAGTCAGCATCTCCATAAAGCTCGTCTGCTGAAGGAAGCATAAAGTGCTCTAAAATGTCCTGGTAGACTGCTGCGTTGACTCTGGACTTAATAAAGCACAGTGGACCAACACCAGCAGATGACATGGCTCCCCAAACCAACACAGACTGTGGAAACTTCACACTGGACTTCAAGCATCTTGGATTGTGTGCCTCTCCATCCTTCCTCCAGACTCTGGGACGTTGGTTTCCAAATGAGATGCAAAATGTGCTCTCATCAGAAAAGAGGACTTTGGACCACTGAGAAACAGACCAGTTCCTTTTTTTCTTTAGCCCAGGTAAGACGCTTCTGACGTTGTTTGTTGTTCAGGAGCGGCTTGACAAGAGGAATACGACATTTGAAGCCCATGTCCAGGACCCGTCTGTGTGTGCTGGCTCTTGATGCAGTAACTCCAGCCTCAGTCCACTCCTTGTGAAGCTCCCCCACACATTTGAACGGCCTTTTCCTGACAATCCTCTCCAGGCTACGGTCATCCCTGCTGCTTGTGCACCTTTTTCTTCCACACTTTTCTCTTCCACTTAACTTTCTATTAATGTGCCTTGATACAGCACTTTGAGAACATCCAACTTCTTTTGCAATTACCTTTTGAGGCTTTCCCTCATTGGGGAGGTTGTCAATGATGGTCTTCTGTCAGCTCAGCAGTCTTCCCCATGATTGAATTCCACTGAACCAGACTGAGAGACCAATTAAAGGCTCAGGAACCCTTTGCAGGTGTTTTGGATTAATTAGCTGATTGAGTGTGACACTTTGAGCCTACAATACTGAACCTTTTCACAATATTCTAATTTTCTGAGATTTTGAATTTGGGGTTTTCATAAGCTATACGCAATAATCATCAAAATTATATCAAATAAAGGCTTGAAATATCTCACTTTGCATGAAATGAGTCTATATATTAGTTTCACCTTTTAAGTTGAATTACTGAAATGAACTTTTGCACGATATGCAAATTTTTCTAGTGTTCCCACTGAACAGTTACTGGGACATTAACCGGAGGGCATTTGCATGACTAGATTTATCAGCTATATGAATAATATATATATAATAATATAGCCTATCAACTAATGTTACTAGATTTACTTTAGGCTAGGCTGTGAAGCCATTGCCGTGGTTACTATCTATAGACTGCCTTACGTTTACTGGTGGAGCACTTGTCTCGGTGTCTGTTCACATGAGAAGCGCAGAGCAACCAGGCCAGGCGACTAGGCAGGCGGAGTGTCGCTTCCCGTGTGAAAAGGCCTTAATACAGAACTATTTTGATCTGCATTTTTTCAGACTCAGTGTTTATATTCACAGATGGCTCCAAATATCCTGATACAGGGCATATCTCAGTGTATACCACAGAGCTGACTGCAATAGTACTGGCCCTGCAGTGGATAGAAGAGAGGGAAACAAATAATACTGTTATTGCATCTGATAGCTTGTCTGCACTAATGAGTATTAAATCTGGCAAATCATCATTTAGATCCAAAATCCTCAATGACATATTCCTTATATTGTACAGGATGGAGCTAAAGGGTTTATCCACATGCTTCCTTTGGGTTCCTGCTCATGTTGGTGTGGAGGGAAATGAGCAGGTGGATATTCTGGCCAAAGGAACACTCAAAATCAAACAAGAAAGAAGAAACTGATTTAGATAAAAGATTTTTTGGTTTGTTTGTTTGGTTTGACTTTTTTCTGTGTTGTTTATTTGTTTTATTGATTTTTCTGCTTAATCTGTCGTTCTACACTCCAGTCCAGTTGGTGGCGGTAATGCACCATTAAACTGCCAAACAGAAGAAGAAGAAAAGCGAGCGAGAGCGAGAGAGCGCGCGCGTGTGTGCGCGCGTGCACGTGCGCGTGTGTCCGGACCTTTATAGATACAGTCAATGGTCCAGATCGATCGCACCGGGCCGACGGGAGACTAGAAGACAGGACGATAAGACTGGTATGTACCGTTATTTGACTTGGCATTTCAGGAATATTAAGTGCAGCGACAGTGACGTGCAGTGTCCCCTTTGCAGTCTGTTTACAACACGCTGAAGTTAGCTAGCGATTCGCCAGTTAAGGGCAACTTGACTTAACTTTGCTTTGCCACCTCTGACTGTTGTGAAAGCGTGTTAGA